AAAAAACCAGGGGGGGGGGGGGCGGGGGCCCGCCCCCAGCCAGGCAGCGCCCTGCAGCCCCTCGCTGAGCAGCACCAGGGCCCACCGCCCCCCAGGAGCTGCCACGCGGATGCTGGGCGGCTGCCCCCCAATCCAGTACAGGTTCCCGCTCAGCCAGTCCAGGGCCAGGGACGTCACTGTGCCCTCCACAGCCACCGCCCGCTTCCAGGACAGCCGGCCCCAGTCCTTCAGGCGCAGCAGCCCGATGGAGTCGCCCCCCACCTCCGCAAAGTACAGGCTCTTGTCTTTCACTGCGTAGTCGATGGCTGTCAGGCGGTCCACCTTGGCCAAGGGCAGGGCCCGGTGCGGGGGAAGGCCTTGGGATCCAGCTGTCGTGGGCAGGTCCTTCAGGTAGACCTGGAGGAAGGAGGCAGCACTAGGATGGGGACCCTGCTCCCCTGACAGCGGCAAGGAGAGCAGCCCCCAGGGCTGGCTCTGGAGGATGGTACCTGCGCCACGGCTGCTGGTGACACCAGGAGGGCAAAGGCCGAATCACGGAGGGGCAGGCAGGTCATCTCATCAGCAGCCAGTGTCAGCCCGGCGGGGCACCGGCACTGCCCAGCATGCCTGGCACTCAGCAGGCACAGGTGGGAGCAGCCACGTGCCACACACGGGTTAGGGGCCACGGGGCGCAGGGCTGGGTGTATCACCTGTGGGAAGGGCAGGCTCAGCCTCACAGCCCCTCCAGCACCCAGCAGTGGAGCTGAGCACGACTGACACCACGCCATGCTCCCAAGGCTCGGACATGGCCCAGCTGGGGGCAGGATGGTGAGGATGCTCCAAGAGGACCAGAGACCCTTGATCACAGGGACTGCTGCCCAAGGACCACTGGGATGGGGGTACAGCTCCCAGTGGCTCTGCACTCAGAGGATGGCAGGGCCGTGCAGGGTGGGAGCCCCAGCAGAGCTGGTGCAGCAGGGTTTGGGGCTCCCCCAGGTAGGTACCTGGAGGCCGTGGGGCTGCCCGTGTCGCTTGAGCAGCACGGTCCTGTTCTTGCCGCTGGCCTTGTCTACCTGCTGCACAGACCATGCCTTCCTCTCCGACCAGTAGAGCTGCCCCTCACACACAGCCGCTGCGAAAGGACTCTGGACCCAGCCCAGCTGCAGGACCTGGCAGAGAGGCCGTGAGTGCCCACCCTGGCCCCCATCAGGGCCCCATCACCAGAGCGCCCACCACGCACCTTCACATTGGTGCCATCCAGATGTGCAGAACCGATGCTGCCCAGCTTCTCATCCAGCCAGAAGATCCTCCAGGTGGGGAGGTCAAGGGCCAGTGCTGTAGGCCAGCCCAGCCCCTGGGCCAGCAGCACGTGCCGCCGACTCCCATCCATGGTGGCCTCCATCAGCCGTGGGTGGCTCCCCACCTCTGACCAGTACAGCAGCCTGGCAGGAAGAGAGGTGCTGGCCCATGGACTTGCCACAGCATCGTCCCAGTACCAGGGCAGCCCAGAGGAGCAGCGTGGAGCTTCCTATCCCATCAGGGTCACACTGAGCTCCACCCAGGGCAGGGACAGGTGCCTGGGCTCCTTCCCCAGTCGCACAGCACCAACAGCACCCAGGTCAGGCCATCCCACCTCTTTCCCAGCCTTTCGCCTGCCTCTGTGGAGGAAAATGGGGCAGGGCAGGGATAGCAAGGAGGTCCCCATGTTCTCTTGTCCCAGCCTTACCCTGCCAGAGGCTGGAGCACCAGGGAGTGGGGCCGGTCCAGGACTCCATCCATCACCACAGTGTACTCTGGTATCCCTCGCCAGGCAGCCCCCAGGCGAGTGGCCAGCACCTGCCCTGCTGCCCCATCTGTCCAGTACAGGTTGCTTCCGAGCCAGTCCACTGCTATACAGTCCGATCTCACACCTGCAACATGCTCAAGAGTCTGCACCCTTGGGGTGACAGCTGCATGGCCCTCTGGCACAATGCTCCCAGCCCAGGTCCCCTCCATCTCAGGAGCTCCGGCGCCTCCCAACCCTGCTCCCACCAGCACCTCTCCATGCAAGGGGACACAGCCTGGCAACCTGGAGACTGCACAGCCATGGAGAGGCCAGCCCTGCTAACCCCACACTGTCACAGCCCACCTTTCACCAGTGTGCCTTTCTTGCCGAAGTCGAAGCTCTGCCAGCGGATGCTCTCTGTGGCCAGGTCCATCCAGAAGACTTTCCTCTCCACCAGGTCATAGTCAAGCGAGAAGACAACGTGATCCTTATCAGTGGCCAGCAGCACCTCCTCACGCCCACTCCGCAAGCCATAGGTCAACAGCTCTGACTGCACGGCCACCAGCAACATGGGCTCTGGTCCTGGGGCAACAAAGAGCCGCCCAGACCCTGCTCAGCACTGGTGGCTCCACGGCCCCAGCACACACAGGCATTGGAGCCTGCTGGGACTCGGCCCTACCACACAGCATGTTCCCCAGTTAGTGCAGATGGATTTTCCAACTGGCCACAGGCTGGCAAGCAGCAGGTCACAGCTGAGCGGGGCCTGGGAGGCCACGTGGCAGAGGGGACAGGGCCATTTGTGGGACTACAAGGCTCCCCGTGGGCAGCAGGCAGGGGGGAACAGGTACCCACCGGCTCCTGGTCTACTCTAGGGTGCCAGGGACCCTCAGCACTGCTTGGCTGTCCCAGGGCTTACCAGTGAGTTTGCAGATGCGGCCATCAGGTTCCAGCAGGTAGCCAGGGAGACAGCCACAGCTGTACGACCCCGGGGCATTGAGGCAGGTCTGGCTGCAGGCTCCCTCAACAGGCTCTGTGCACTCATCTATGTCCATGCAGGACAGACCGTCCTCAGCCCGCCGATAGCCCGGGTCACACCAGCACCGCTGTGGGGAAAGGGGCTGTCAGGGTTGCCCCTTGGGGACACATGAGGCTCCCTCCTGCAGCTGGACCAGGGCAGCATGGTGGGGTAAGCCCCTGGACAAGGGCTGCTGGCACTCACAGGGCCCTGGGGCGAGGGGTAGCAGAGATGAGTGCAGGACCGCTGGCAGGGCACAGAGCAGTTTCCCCCCTCGTCCGAGCCATCTGCGCAGTCCTGCTGGCCGTCGCACACCAGGGATGCATTCAGGCAGGCCCCCAGCCCACATGGGTACTCGTGACTCTGGCAGGGAGCAGGTTGGCCTGCAGGGACACGCAGGGAAGGCTGCCCTGAGCCTCATCTACCAGCTCCTTTTGCTCAGCTGGGGCAGATTTAGCTGCTCTCACAGGGTGCCCAGGGCTCACTGCAGCCACGTCCAGAGCCGTGCCTGTAGACTGGCCTCAGACTATCCTAATCCCAAGGCCACCAGCCCTACAGGGACAACAGCTACCCGGGGCCTGGAGCCACCACAGATGCTGGGAAGAGGCAACCAGCACACAGGGCCTTTTGCCTTGGCACAGTCATGTCCCCACCTCCTTCTGTGCTGGGTATCCACCAACCACCCCTGGGTGAGACACAGAGAGGATAAAAGCAGGGTGTTGCTCACAGCCAGCCTCGTCGCTGCCATCCGTACAGTCACGCTCTCCATCACAGCGCCAGATATCAGGGATGCACTTGTGGCCACGGGAGCAGCCCCACTGCCGGTCCCCACACAGCCCTTCCTCCCAGGGACAGCCCTGAAAAAGCAGAGGGTGACCAGGGCCGCCAGCCCTCCCGGGAGTGAGCAGGGACAGACTATGTCCCCACCACCCCACCTACCTGCTCATCTGTGCCGTCCCCACAGTCGGCTGCACCGTCGCAGCGCCAGGCCTCTGGCACACACTCCCCGCTGCGGGGACACGCCACCTCACCCGTGCGGCAGAGCAGCGGCCGGGGCACGGCACAGCCCTCCTCATCCGAGCCATCCCGGCAGTCGCGGTCGCCATCGCAGCGCAGGGCCAGGGCCACGCACTGCCCGCTCCGGCAGGGGAACTCGGCTGGGCTGCACTCCTTTGGTGCTGCAGGCAGGGCCAGGGCTGAGCCAGAGCACCGTCCCCATCCCCATCCCACCAGCACAGGTGTGGCACTGAGCAGTGGCACAGCTACCCTCCAGCTGCTTGGCAGGTTGCCCCGGGCAGTGCCTGCTTCTGGACCCACAGGAAGGCTGGTGCACCCACCTGTGGGGCAGGCAACCCCCAGAAGCCCCTGTCCCACCCAGCCCCAGGGTCTCACCACAGCCCTGCTCATCCGCATGGTCCAGGCAGTCAGCATGGCCATCACACAGCCAGCTCTCAGGGACACAGCGAGTGGCAGTGTCACAGCGCAGGGCACACTCCTGTGTGGGGCTCCAGCAGCCTGTCTCATCCGAGGCGTCAGGGCACTGTGGCACCCCATCGCAGCGCTCCCCAGCCCCGACGCACACGGCTCCGCTCACGCAGTGGAAGGCCCCTGGGGAGACAAAGGAGCCTTGCTAAGCCTCCAGTAGGCAGCCAGGGTGCCCAGACCCTCTGCTAGCCCCCTGGTGACCTAGAATAGCCCCACACTACAGTGACGGGGCTTGGTCCCTCCTAGTCAGTGCATCCCAGTGCATCTAGGTCCTGAGCAAGGCGACTGAGGCAGTCTCAGATCAGCCACACCTAGGTCACTGTGAGCAGCAGGGCCAGCCCTGTCGTCCCCTTCTGACTCACAGCACCTCTAGCCCAGTGCTGAGCTCAGAAGAAACCAGCATGCCACATCACAAGCATCAGAGCCCAGATGGGCTCAGACCTTCCCAGGGCCCTATCCCACCAACCCCACCAGGAAACAGCCAGAAGCCTTGGCACAGGGAGATCCAGCTGCACAGGACACTGAAGAACAGCTCCTACCTGGGGTGTCACAGAGCTGGGCACACCCATCCTCATCAGAGCCATCCGCACAGTCCTTCTCCCCATCACACATGTACTCCTGGGCCACGCACTCGGTGCCATCACGGCAGGGCACATGCGTGCGAGGACAGGACAGATGGGGGACTGGGGTCAGGGGGTGTGCAGGGCTGGACAGGAGGTGTGGGGTAGGCAGCACTACCCGTGCAGGGCTGGTTGGGCGCTGGGTGATAGTAGTTGGCTGTGGGGCAGTGGTCTTTGTTGGCAAGGACCGAGTGGTGGTGCTGGTGGTCGCTGGCCGCACAGTGGTGGTCTTGGTTGGTGTGGTCCGGGCAGTGGTTGGCGCAGGGGTGGTCTTGGTTGATGTGGACTGGCTGATGGTGGTTGGTGTTGTGGTGTTGGTGCAGGAATAGTGGTGAGCGCAGTGGTAGTCTTGCTTGGTGTAGGTCTCGTGGTGGAGGTGGTGGGCCGAGCAGCAGTGGTGCTTGTGGTTGTCCTCGTAGTGGTGGTTACAAGTGGAGGGAGTGGCAGGGCAGACCCCTTGCTTGGTGGCACTGGCAGAGGCACAGGCACTGGAACATAAGCCTGGATTTGGGGCTGTGGCCTCCCCACATTCCAGGTACCTCCAAGAGCACCCCACATGGACAACAGCAGCCAGGCACCCTGCCCCAGCTTGGAGCAGCACAGGCCACCCAGCCCCATCAGGTACAGCACCAATGCCAGGCACAGAGCCCCGGCCACTCTTACCAGCCTGCGGCTCCGAGCCCACGAAGGCCACCACTCCCTGCACGCCTGCTGCTGGCACAGACAGCACAAGGGCCAGTGTCCTCCGGTCCCACAGCAGCAGAGCTGTCCCATTTGCCGACACCAGGTATGGCTCCCCGGCGGCCACAAGGCCGTGGGACCAGCTGGGTGCCAGGGTGACTGCTTGCCGCTTGGTCAGACTCAGTGCCCGCAGGCCTGCGAGGCAGAGGGATGGTAGTGCCCTGGGGTCTGCCGGCACCCCTCGTGGCCCACCCCATGCCCCCAGAACCCACAGCTATGGCAGGGCCCCCATGGCCCCCACTGCCAGGGGCCCAGCCATGGAACAGAGTCTGCCCCATGAGCACCCCACTGCCTGGGCAGGGACCTGCTGCACGTAGGGCATGGCTGGTCACTCCTGCCTATAGCAACCACCTCAGCTCCCTGCTCCAGACACCACCAGGGCTCACCCAGGGCTGAGCTCCAGAGCAGGCTGAAGGCTCTGCTATCCATGGCCGCAGGCAGGTCTCCAGGCCACGTCTCGTTCCAGGCATCCCATGGGGCACCCCCAGCCAGGCTCAGCTGCTGCAGGGGCTGCCCGCGGGCCAGCCAGTATAGAGCACCCCGCTGCCAGTCCAAGAAGAAGTGCTGGATGCTGCTGCGAGCACGGTGCAGGATGTGCGGGGACGTGTCAGATGCCTGGATCACCCCGATGTCCCTCCGGTTACATGCGAGCCAGTACAGGTCCCCCGAGCGGATGTCCACACGGGCAGAGCAGACTTGGCAAGAGTAGGCACGCAAGCAGTTACAGGGATGTCCCATGACCCTGCTCCTCTGCCTAGGTTCCCCCTGCCCCTAAAACCAGGGCACAGCTGCCTGGTGCCTTGGCATAGCCCCAGCGTGGTCACCATGGGACTGCTGTGCTCTGCATCCAGGAAATCCTCAGGCCTCAGGGAGCACCAGGAAGGGGAGCATGCCCTCCATCACCCCATAGGGTCTCACCTGGCAGCCTGGTTGCAATGGCCTCTCTTCTGCCTGGGTGCCCCATTACACGCAGCAGCGTCCCATGGTCATCCGTCCCATAGAGCACCGACCTCTGCCAGCCCACATCTTGCAGGTGGAGGGGCTCCTGCCACTCCTGCAGCAGTTTGCTGTGCGCTCCAGGGCCCACCTGCAACAGGGAGATGGCCTTCCCTGATGCATACACGATGGACAGCTCTGTGGGGTACAAGGGCAGTGTGTGAGTGCGGCCCTCAGGGTAATGGACGAGGTCACCAGCATGAACCAAGGTAGAAACATAACAGCACTGGTGTGTGCTGGGAACCTCATCCCACCAAAGCCACAGCACCTTACAGCCCCCTCCGACTCCCACAGGGATGCATCCTGCCCCGGACAGCCAAGCCCGCCTTGCAGACCCTGCTCACCTGCACACTTCCCCGAGGGCAGGAGGAAGAGGCCCTCTGGACATGCACACTTGTAGCCCCGAGGGTGCACAGAGGACAGGAGGCAAAGATGACTGCACAGGCCCGGAGCACACGCAGCAGTGTCCCCTGGGAGCAAGGGGACATTAAGAGCTCAGGCAGCCATGACCCCCCATGCCTCTCCCAATCCCCAAAAAACACAGGCTGTCCTGGGGCTGGATGTGGGCTGGCTACCCCAGGCAGGGTAGCAGTGTCACATGAGGTAGGAGGGCTCAGCTCTACCCGTAGCCATGGGACTCGGCAGCTTTCCTATGGGTTCATATGTCCCCTCCCTCACAACCCCACAACCCCTCACTGCAGGACCAGGAGAGTCATCAGGCAGGACCCGCTGAGCTCCAGGACCCAGCGCAGCCTCTTCTAGCACCCAGGAAAGCGGTGAGGGTGCTGCCAGCCCTGCACTGGTGCAGGCGCCCAGCAGGGTACTCACGGGGAGGCTGCTGCAGTGCGTGCAGCACAGTGAAAGCAGAGACAGGGGCACGGAGCAACACTGCGTGCTCCTGGGGAGAGGCCCGGGTGGCCGACACCAGCTCTGTGCCGTCGGTCCAGAAGAACCGGCTCTCGAACACAGCCAGGCCCAGTGGCTCTGTGTGGCTCCGCAGGACAGTGGGAAAGGAGTGGCGCCCGCTGCCATCCACCCGCAGCGTCTCGATGGACTGGGGACAAGGCAAGGCATGGTGACCATGTGGCACCCCCACACCCCGGCACTGAACCACAGCCACGGGGCTCACACAGGTGCCTTCTCCCTCCCAGCTCAGGGATGTGTGCCAGACCTGGGCACCGCTCCCTGCTCCCTCCCATGCCTTGGCCATAGCCACAGGGGAACAAGGGCCACCCTCCCCACTCCCACCTCATTGCCTCCCAGCACCTGGTGGGGGCACAGCCCTGCTGCCCCACATCCCTACCTCCTTGTACTCGCTGATCCAGTACAGCCTGCCAGCCACATGGTCCAGGCTCAGCCCCACAGGCTCCTCCATGGACACCACTGTGAGTTCCCGCCGGTTTGAGCCATCCATGCCGGCTGCAGCAATGACTGTCCGGCCCCTCTGCCCACGGTTGACCCAGTACAAGGACCTGGGGGCAGGCACTAAGCACCCACCTCATGGCATAACACCAGTGCTGCCACAGTTCCACAGCAGGCATGACATGGTCAGCACCAGCATCGCTCACCCAGGAGCCCGGGGCCAACCCTGGCTCACTCGCTCCTCACCTTGCAGCCGGATGCACTGTCAGCTGCTCTGGTGCCACGTCCTTCCCCAGCACTGTCACATAGCCCCGTCCATCGCCCAGCCCCGCACAGATGGCTGCAGGGTGGCTGCTGGCCCAGTACAGCTGCCCTGTGAACCAGTCCACAGAGATGCTGTTCACCTCCCCGGCATCTGCAGAGACAGAGCAGTTTAAGGCACACCACTCCTGCTCCAGGCCAGGAGGCAAAACCCTTCCTCTACAGGTTGCCCCTTCCTCTACAGGAAAGGCAGGGCTGGGGTGGCAGGCCAGCTCTCAGCACCCATCTCAGCCCCGCTATGGCACCCAGGACCCTTGCTCCTCCCCACCTGCATAGAGGGGCCGCATGCCCTTCCCCGGGAGGCGAGCGCGGAGCTCGCCCTCCTCTGTCAGCCAGTAGTAGGTTTCTCGGAGCAGGTCGTACACCAGGGCACGGGGTTTGGTCTCAGTGGAGAGCAGGGGCCGGTAGGCTTGGGTCCGCACATCCAGAAGGGCCAGGTCCTGCCCCACGGCCACCAGGATCTGTGTTGCATTGTCTGCCAGGGTGAGGGGGAGGTCACCCGGTGAGCGGGGAAGCGGCTAGCTGCGGGCACTGCCCAGCCCCTCCCCCCCGGCCCCCCGCCCCCCCCCCCCCTGCCACTTCACAGATGGTGCCATGCCACAAGGTGTAGCCCTGGAGGCAGGCACAGCTGAAAGCCCCCGGGGTGTTGCTGCACAGCTGGCTGCAGGGGCTGTACTCCAGGGAGCACTCGTCCACATCTGCAGGGATAGGCACAGCCAGGAGCCCACTGCACAGCTGGCTAGCCACCCCCCAGACAGCACTGCCGCTGCTCCCCAGGGACCACAGGCAGGCTCCCTAGATACCAGGACCTGGGCCCCAGCCCCAAAGTGCACCAGCTGCTGCTGGGACATGACCTAAACACAGCCTTTGTGGGGCCAGGTGTGACACGCAGGCAGGAGCGGGTGAGGCAGGGGTGTTCCTGCACAAGCGCTGGCTCCGGGTGCCCCCAGCCCCAAAGTGCACCAGCTGCTGCTGGGACATGACCTAAACACAGCCTTTGTGGGGCCAGGTGTGACACGCAGGCAGGAGCGGGGCTGAGGCAGGTGTTCCTGCACAAGCGCTGGCTCCGGGGAAAACCTGCTCTCGGCAGCCAAGGATGCATGTGCCCGAAGCACGCGCACCCTGACCTCTCCCTTACCAGCACAGCTCTGCCCGTCTGCCTGCAGGACCCAGCCAGCCCCGCAGGAGCACTGCACTCCCCAGTGTGTGTCAGCGCACGTCTCTGCACAGCCCCCATTGCGTACAAAGCAGCTCCGACCTGCGAGGACACAGTGGAGGGGTGACACGACGCAGGACAGCTCTGCGGCTCCCCCCGGCCCCAGCCACACGGCCAGTGGCCAGCAGCCGCACGCAACTCACCGCACGTGCTGGGCTCATCAGTGCCGTCCAAACAGTCGTCCTCGTCATTGCACATCAGGGACTCCAGGATACACTTCCCCTCATCGCACCGCACCATGCCAGGTGGGCAGGGGGCTATGGCACACACAGCTCATGTCAGGAGGGCAGATCAATACCAGGTGGGCACAGGGGAAGCCATGGGTCCCAGACTCATGGGGAGGCCTTGCAAAGCATCAACAGGTTCCTGGGATGCTTGCCACCATCCCAAGGGGAGCTGGGGCCCAGGAAGGCAAAGTACCCCCTACTTCACACATGGCCTGGACAGGTCTCACCCCACTGAGGAGCATCCAGCATGCTTGCTTACCGCAGACATCTTCATCCGAGGAATCGCCACAGTCATCAATCCCGTTGCACTTCCACTCAGCCATGATGCACACCCTGTTCCTGCACTGCCACTGCCCGGGCAGACAGGGCTGCTGGGGACACCCCTCCTCGTCCCAGCCGTCCTCGCAGTCCTGGTGCCGATCGCACAGCTCCCAGTGCGGGATGCAGTGGTGGGTGCCAGGACACTGCACTTTCTTTGCCCCGCACACTGAGGGAACAGAGCAGCACTTGCACCCTGCCCTGTGCCCTCAGCCACCGCCACTCCCACTCAGCCTCCCCAGCAGAGACTACGTACCACAGTCCTGCTCATCAGAGCCATCCAGGCAGTCAGCAGTACCATCGCAACGCCAGCTGCTAGAAACACACCGGCCATCATCACACTGCCAAACATGGGGGTCCCCACCACAGGCAACATCTGCAGGGACAGCACATGGTCACTGGGACCTACCACTCCACCACAACCACAAGGGTCCCCTCCGTCCTGGCACGGGGCAGGTGCTGGCAATGCCCAAGGGGCTCTGCCAAGGGGCTGGCCCACAGCAGCCCCCAACAGGGCTCTCTGGCAGTTGCCTCGCTCAGCATGGGATCCAGGATATGTCCCCATACCACAGACATGCCCCAGGAGCTCTGGGGCATACACAACCCTGCAGGGTGCCACACAGGAGTCACTGGCAGAGCCAGCAAGGAGCAAGGTGCCTCTGGCCTGCCCTGTCCCACCACCTTCCAGAGCACCAGGGCCCCTTGATGCCTGCGCAGCCCCCCAGGCCACCCCACGACAGAGGACAGGTGCCAGCTTCCCCTCACTCACCGCACTGCTCATCTGTCCCATCAGGACACTGCTGCTCGCCATCACAGAGCCAGGGAACGGGGATGCAGCCGGCACTGCAGGCGGCCTGGCGCGAGGCCGCGCATGTGGGGCCGGTGGGCGCTGCGGGAGAGAGGGAGCCCAGCCCATGGTCAGCCTGG